ATGATGGTTTAGGGCGTCGTTATCCGCAGTGTGATCGCTGTCCAGTTGTCCGTTATGGTTGGACTGCTAAGACTTTATATCCGATATCTGCTTATGTTTCTTATGGTGATCTTTCTTCTATATTTCGAGCTTATAGTATGACTTTATCAGATACGCCGGTTCCTCGCTCTGTTTCAGAGGCTATGTAGGAGCCCCAGTGGGTTCTTGCCATGCAGATGGAGATGGACGCTCTTCAGCGTAATCATATGTGGAATTTTGTCTCTTTACTTTCAGGGGTGAACCCTATTAGCTGTCGCTGGGTTTACACCTTAAAGCTTCTTGCGGATAGTACTATTGATTGCCATAAGACTAGGCTTGTGGCGAAGGGTTTTATTCAGGTACCAGACCGTGATTTTGGTGCTATCTTTGTCCCGTGGCAAAATTAACTACTTTTCGATTGATTATTTTTCTGGCTGCGGAGTACTCTTGGCCTCTTTATCAGTTGGATGTGAAGAATGCATTTCTTCACGGTAATCTGGATGAGATTATTTATATGGATGCACCACCGGACTTTCGTGGTGAGGGGGAGTATGCTGGAAAGGTATGTCGACTGCGTAAGTCTCTCTATGGACTGAAAAAGTTACCACGAGCCTGATTTTCTCGCTTTAGTGATGTGGTTGTACGTTTAGGGTTCACCAAATGTCATTTTGATCATACCTGCTTCATTCGACGGAATACTTCTGGACAATGTGTCATCCTTCTGGTATATGTTGATGATATTATTATCACTGGAGATGATATTTCTAGAACTATGCAGGTCAAGGTAGACCTTGAGAAGGCCTTCGATGTGAAGGATTTTGGATTTTTGCGATATTTTCTTGGGAGTGAGGTTGCCCGTAGCAACAGGGGTATGTTCTGTCTCAGAGAAAGTATGTTCTGGATCTTCTCTCAGACACTGGAATGTTGGGGTGCAAACCGGCATCATCACCCATGATTTCAAACCTAAAGCTTACTGCTGAAGGTGAGGAGTTGAGAGATCCGACTGTCTATCAGAGGTTGGTAGATAGACTTATCTACCTAGCCAATACTAGGCTAGACATTTCATTCACTGTCAGCCGAGTTAGTCAGGCCGTGTCAGCCTCATCTTGATGTAGTTTATCATATTCTTCGATACCTCAAGTCTTGTCCTAGACTTGGGTTGTTCTATGCATCACGATCTCAGACTAATCCTCTAGCCTGTTATTCAGATTCAGATTATGGGGGAGCATGCGACGGTAGATCTACTACGGGCTTCTGTGCTTTTCGAGGGACTCATCTTATCTCTTGGAAGAGCAAGAAGCAGGCAGTTGTCTCTCATTCGTCAGCAGAGATAGAGTATCGGGCACTGGCACTTGGCACATGTGAGATTATCTGGCTATGATCGATTCTTGACGAGTTGAGATTTTCAGTGGCTTCTTCATCTACATTATATTGTGATAATCGATCTGCTATTCAGCTCGCTTTTGACTCTGTATTACACGAGAGGACAAAGCATATAGAGATCGATGTTCACTTTCTTCGGGAGAAGGTTCGATGTGGTATTGTCACTCCATTGTTTGTGGGGACCAGTGATCAGATTGCGGATATTTTCACCAAACCTGTCACTCTATCCATTCTTCGGGACTCTGTTGTCAAGCTTGACTTAGTTGATATTTTTGCGCCTAGCGTGAGGGGGAGTGTTGGAATATAGTCTAGTTTATTAGGGTTTCTTTTCCCTTTTTTACTCTTACTATGATTTTATATTTTACCTAGACCACAAGGATGTTTTGGTCACTTTGTATTATTATTTGACTATATATATAGGACTCTACTCTTAGTTTGAGTATCCCTTTTCACTCACATTTATTCCAAGTGTAACCAAATGGTTTTGGCAGTACTCATTCCTTCTTTTTACCTTTCCCAGTTCTTAATAGACACGGGTTCTTTACTAACTGTAAATGACAATCTTATGGTTCCAGCTAAGGAGAGTTAGCACATTTGAAGCATGAAATCCTGGTGCATTGGACTAGAAGGGTGAGAGTTGAGTGGCTCTTTGAGAGCAGCACACACGTTTGCAGAGAGAGANTTCCAGCTAAGGAGAGTTAGCACATTTGAAGCATGAAATCCTGGTGCATTGGACTAGAAGGGTGAGAGTTGAGTGGCTCTTTGAGAGCAGCACACACGTTTGCACAGAGAGAGAGAGAGAGAGAGAGAGAGAAGCAAATGCGAGTCACAAGTAGCAAGCAGATTGAATGCAAACAACCAATGACCATTGCTTCGATGTCTATATGTTGGTTCTCTGCCATTTTGGCGCCGCCTCTATTTTTAGAAAGCCAAGTTTATGAACTATGAAGGAATGTCGTTGGGCCAAATTAGCCCTAATTTAGAGAATTGGCCCGATACTCTCTCTCCCTCAGAGGCCTAGTCGTAGCCTAAGTGTCCCATTTCCGATGAACCATCAACTCTAGCCACTTAGCCGCACAATCAGATCATAGAGTTCCTGTAAACTCAACATGAGCACTCCTTGGGTCCTTCCATTTACAACAGGGGACATACATGCATTGCTGTGCATGCGCCTAGAGGCCGCCCTGTGGAGAATCTGGTAATATGGAGTTGTGCTGCAGGAGATCAGCAACAGATGGTCCATATGCCTCGTTCATTTTTCTTCCACTGTTAAAATCAAGGTGGGTGGAAAATGAGGGGTAAGGTTAAAAATGCCCAATGAGGCAAAATAGGCGGAGGGAAGATGATAGATTGACATGGTAAAATTTCAGATCTGAAAAAATATTTCAATAAGTTGTGAGGAGGAAGAAATATGTCACTTTGAGAATCTTTTTTTCTTAAATGCTCTGAGTGTGTTTAAGTCTTGTCAAGGCACAGTACTACATAATTCTTGACCACTTGAAGATTTTATCCCTTTCCTGCTAATTGATTTGGCAGAGTACTGGTTTAGCTGATATAGTAATTAACTAATATCTCAGTTGGAAAGGACTTCTGGGTGTTCTGTTTTTCTGGTATGTAACTGTAGCCCCAACCTTAAAAATTAAATCTGTTACTGTTGTAGAGTCCTGTCTCGTAAGCCTCAATGTTTCTTCCAAAATATATTTAATTTGTTGAATGATATTGGCCTGAGAGAGAAAATTTCCATCTGGGCAGTTTTTCGATTGGTTTGGTGTTCGGAGAGTGCTGAACATATTGCATTTGCTTCAATCATGACCCTTGCAAACATCTTATCAGTTTCACAATTCTGACTGAATTTGACTATTCCTTTTGCACGAGTCCCTCTTTATTTTTTATTTTTTATTCTTTTTCTTTTGTTTTTGTAGTTTTGATTCGAATTAAGATTTCTGCTTTCATTTGATATGCTGCTCCATCATCTTTGATCCTGCGCCTAAGTAGTTGAAGGGGCCAAGTTGCATAATCGTTGCTTGACTTGCTATTTTGCATGGTAGTAGAAGATACTAGTGTAGATTGGTTCTGGTTAAACTTATTGCTGATATATGTTTAGCTGCTTGTATGTTTATTGAAATGTCAAGTACTGTGTCAACTTTTGCTAAACCTTATTGGAGGCTCTTCTATATTTGTCAATGGACTCGTATAAGTTTTGGTTTTATATGAAACTCTATGGTCTAGCTTCAATTTTTTTTTGGGTTGTGGGACTATAACTAAAATTATAACAACACTTCTTTAGGTTTTAGAAAAAGTAGATAACAAGATATGGTTCTAGCACAAAATGTCAATAGCATGTTGCTGAAAACTCTGGAGTATATCATGTAGTAAATTGGCTTCTTTTCCTATTCTGAAATTTACTTCTCTGGGATTTGTATCTGTGTTTGCGCAAGGACATGCAGAATCTCCTTGATTTTGTTGAGATTAATAGTATAGCTTAGCAGTATTCCAGGCATATTGCTTAATTCGATACTGTGGATACACTTCCTTGATTTTGTTAACTGAAAGACATAGAGCAGAGATACTCAGAACAAGCATTATGAGCAGATGAATTCAATATACACTTTTGCTGTAAACTATGGACAGTTATGCATTCAAGAGCTGAAAAGCTAGCATATTTTCCACTGGCAATTTCTGCATATATTTGGTTTGACTATTGAGCATAAATACCTTCCAAGATTGCCTCAGACTGATATGTGGGGCATTCACCTTTAAAGCATCAGATACGTTGGAATAGGCCTCTATACAACCTCTAAAGCATCAGATACACACACTCACAGAGAGAGATAGAGAGAGAGAGAGAGGTTTGTTTATGCTGTCTGGTTTCTCAAAATTTTTATCCAGCGAAATTATTGTCCACTAGTTTCCGATGTATTTTTACATTTAACACTTGTGTACAAGTGAAAATTAGGAATGCGTAAAATTTCTTCGGGAGCCCTATGAGTTTTTCAGTGTTTTCACGCCTCCTTTCTTATTGTAAAGGAAGGAATTGCTTTGAAGTATACTTTCCCATGAGAAAGACGGTGACCACATCTTCAAATTTTGATGTGCATTAGTTTGTTTATCTGACATATGGTTAGAGACCATTAGTTTGTTTCTGAACCACTGCCCACCAGTAGAGTTAACTGTTAATATCTTCAATATTCTGTCTATGTTTGGGTCATAAAGGAGGCATTTTTATGATTGTTTTGGAAGGATATGGATGTTAATTTGACATAGGGTACCATTGTGTTATGCTACGAAGGCTGCTATGTCTGTCATTGACTGAAAGTGGAACTGAAGCATAGACTTGGGAAAATTTTGAGCTCACTGTAAAGAATTTCTTATCCTGTGTATTGTCATTTAACACATTTTTTTTTTGTTGCTCAAACTCCCCCTTGATGTAATTGTGCTGAATGGTGAATGTAAAAGGTTCCCAGACTTCTACAATTTATTAATCATTTCAAATTTTCAAGCAGAGAAGGGTGAAACCCCACATTGATTGCTGATCTTAGTTTACGTCATAATTTGTTCGTTCCTGGATATTCTCATGATTATAGGCACGCATGATATTCAGGTACCTATTGTTCCCAGTCATGTACATTCTATTAATGATTCCATGTCGGCAGAGGAAGCCGCTGATGAGTATGGGTTTGTCATCAGACAGCTTGTGAAGACTCGCGTAATCAGTGTTTCAGAGATCAGTGACTGTCCCAAGTTTGACCTTATCCTTCTCGGAATGGGTCCTGATGGGCATGTTGCGTCTCTATTTCCTAACCACTCTGTCCTTGATGAGAAAGATGAATGGGTAACTTTCATTACTGACTCACCCAAACCCCCACCTGAGAGAATCACTTTCACTTTGCCTGTCATCAAATCTGCTTCCAATGTGGCTGTGGTCGTGACTGGAAGCAGCAAAGCAGAGGCTATACACTTGGCGATAGATGATGTAGGTCCTGGCTGTCCGTCATTGCCTGCAAGGATGATCCAGCCAACCACAGGGAAGTTGGTGTGGTTTCTGGACAAGCTGGCTGCATCAAAGCTCAACAGTTCTCAATCTTCTGAGTAGGGCCAAGCTCTTCTTGCAAAGTGTATGTTTGTATTCAGTGAAGGAATCGACAAAGTCTCTTGGCGTAGTTCTTCTTTCTTTTACTTTTTTTAAGTGTTGGGTTCATAGGCCTTTATTCCTCTCTTTTGTAGGGGAGTTGGTTAAGTGTGATTATCCTTTTTGTTAGAAGAGGTTAATAAGTTGGGGCCTAGTACAAATTCCTCTTCTTGTTTTGGTTCTTGTAGGGGTGGTTGCTATTTTTAGGCCCTCTTTGTATTGATATTCTATGAAATCCTTGTAATGAAACTCAGCATTTTTACTGTTATAGATTCTTTTCAACATTGCCAGAAGCCTAGAGTTTTTTCAACAAAAAATTGATGTTATGCTTGCTATGGTGTATGGTCAATTCTCATTGCTTATCCTATGCTTGTCAAGAAATGACATCAAATCATAACACTATTACAAATGATCTAGGCGGGTCTAAGATGGACGTAATCTTTCCTCGCCTTTAGAGAGGTGGTTTCTATGACTCCAACCCATTAAAACCCAATACGCAATGGAATAATCTCACTGTTGTCATGCGTTCCGCTCTCGAAAACAATGTCTTTGTTGGTCCTCTCATTCGTTGTAAAAGAATGATTAGGACAGTCCACCATCCTGTAGATTTATTCCCCTCGTTTGTTTTTCTATCTCATATAACTACAAACCCACTTGAATGTTGATCCTGTAGCAAAGTGTTAAAGAGAGTGTGTATACATCCAATTAAGGTCATTCAAGATTGATTTATATATCGGGAGTTATTTCATCCATTGTCAATTGATTTTGAATTGGATGATTTAACATGGTATCAGAGTTGAACTTTATTGGTCAATAAACCGAGTTTCTTACCCATTTGAATTTTTTGTCATATCGAGTTCCACATGAGCGAGGGTGTCAACACTTAAAAGTCGCTTAATTTCCTCTTCTTCTTGTTGTCGTTTCAAACTATGTGTCAACATTTGCCCAAACTGAACATTCTAAAAACAACTATACATCTAATTGTTATAAAAACCCTAAACCCTAATTGAAGGAATAATGCAAAATATAAACACCTACNGATCTAGGCGGGTCTAAGATGGACGTAATCTTTCCTCGCCTTTAGAGAGGTGGTTTCTATGACTCCAACCCATTAAAACCCAATACGCAATGGAATAATCTCACTGTTGTCATGCGTTCCGCTCTCGAAAACAATGTCTTTGTTGGTCCTCTCATTCGTTGTAAAAGAATGATTAGGACAGTCCACCATCCTGTAGATTTATTCAATCAAGGAAGACACCATTTGACGTAATAAAACACATTGCAATTAAAATTCGATCAGAGTGGTCATTTTTGTTCCCAATTAAGCAAGGACTTACTAGACACACCACTAGCATGACACAAGAGATGGGAAAGATCTGAAAGAGAGTAAGCTGTTACCATGTGAATTTCTAAGCANGACTCCAACCCATTAAAACCCAATACGCAATGGAATAATCTCACTGTTGTCATGCGTTCCGCTCTCGAAAACAATGTCTTTGTTGGTCCTCTCATTCGTTGTAAAAGAATGATTAGGACAGTCCACCATCCTGTAGATTTATTCCCCTCGTTTGTTTTTCTATCTCATATAACTACAAACCCACTTGAATGTTGATCCTGTAGCAAAGTGTTAAAGAGAGTGTGTATACATCCAATTAAGGTCATTCAAGATTGATTTATATATCGGGAGTTACTTCATCCATTGTCAATTGATTTTGAATTGGATGATTTAACATGGTATCAGAGTTGGACTTTATTGGTCAATAAACCGAGTTTCTTACCCATTTAAATTTTTTGTCATATCGAGTTCCACATGAGCGAGGGTGTCAACACTTAAAAGTCACTTAATTTCCTCTTCTTCTTGTTGTCGTTTCAAACTATGTGTCAACATTTGCCCAAACTAAACATTCTAAAAACAACTATACATCTAATTGTTATAAAAACCCTAAACCCTAATTGAAGGAATAATGCAAAATATAAACACCTACCCACAAAAATTCTGCAATACGTATACCAAGGTAAGGATAATATTTTTTAATAACCAGCAGGCTTGTGGTTTTGCTTGCGCCAGTTAGGATTGTCCTCGACTCTCATAAGGATAGTAAGCAGGATTCGACTGACTCATAGAAACCCTTGCTATTTCCACTAATAACTCTGTGGTGCAGGATTAAACTATAACTCGAGTCGCCTTTTGGGAACACCGACGACTTCTCGCCATCTAGGCACCACTGGTGAACTTTCCCCATGAGTTCGGACTGTTATGGTCATGTCCAGACAGAGATTCCAACCTTTTTTACAGATAAAAAAAGAGATAATAACGTAAGACAAAGTTAGTAGATTATGATTGACTAATTTTCAATAAGAATACAAAAATAATATGGTTTGNGGTGAACTTTCCCCATGAGTTCGGACTGTTATGGTCATGTCCAGACAGAGATTCCACTCCGGTGGCCCTTTGAACCTTTTTTACAGATAAAAAAAGAGATAATATCGTAAGACAAAGTTAGTAGATTATGATTGACTAATTTTCAATAAGAATACAAAAATAATATGGTTTGTTAATAAGAATAACAAATGGTTAAGATTAATGTCAAAATCGAATAAGTTAATTCTACCACNGAGTGTGTATACATCCAATTAAGGTCATTCAAGATTGATTTATATATCGGGAGTTACTTCATCCATTGTCAATTGATTTTGAATTGGATGATTTAACATGGTATCAGAGTTGGACTTTATTGGTCAATAAACCGAGTTTCTTACCCATTTAAATTTTTTGTCATATCGAGTTCCACATGAGCGAGGGTGTCAACACTTAAAAGTCACTTAATTTCCTCTTCTTCTTGTTGTCGTTTCAAACTAGGTGTCAACATTTGCCCAAACTAAACATTCTAAAAACAACTATACATCTAATTGTTATAAAAACCCTAAACCCTAATTGAAGGAATAATGCAAAATATAAACACCTACCCACAAAAATTCTGCAATACGTATACCAAGGTAAGGATAATATTTTTTAATAACCAGCAGGCTTGTGGTTTTGCTTGCGCCAGTTAGGATTGTCCTCGACTCTCATAAGGATAGTAAGCAGGATTCGACTGACTCATAGAAACCCTTGCTATTTCCACTAATAACTCTGTGGTGCAGGATTAAACTATAACTCGAGTCGCCTTTTGGGAACACCGACGACTTCTCGCCATCTAGGCACCACTGGTGAACTTTCCCCATGAGTTCGGACTGTTATGGTCATGTCCAGACAGAGATTCCAACCTTTTTTACAGATAAAAAAAGAGATAATAACGTAAGACAAAGTTAGTAGATTATGATTGACTAATTTTCAATAAGAATACAAAAATAATATGGTTTGTTAATAAGAATAACAAATGGTTAAGATTAATGTCAAAATCGAATAAGTTAATTCTACCACGATAAAACTATATTTAACGAGAGTTTTATAAAGAAAATATCTGATTTTTTTTTTTGGAATTTTTTATCATGACTCTGAAAGATTTTTAATTTAGTTTTGGTATAGANCGAATAAGTTAATTCTACCACGATAAAACTATATTTAACGAGAGTTTTATAAAGAAAATATCTGATTTTTTTTTTGGGAATTTTTTATCATGACTCTGAAAGATTTTTTTATTTAGTTTTGGTATAAAATAAAAGATCAAGTGGATATTTGGTTCATATGTAGTAATCTGCAATTTGGGCTTTCTTGGGTGGGTCAACATACAAGTCTTAATCTTCTGTCAAATGGAGGCCCAGCGCATTCTGAAAATTTTACCGCCAATACATTTTATCTTCAGTTTTTTTGTCCCCCAACCATTTATCATGCATTCAAGTGAGACATGTCACTAATTTATGATTGATAATTCGCCAATAAAAGAATTGAAAAAAAAATGCATTGGAGAAAATTTGGATCCACATTATAACAATTGAATTGGTAGCGTATCCAACTCTTGGGGCTAATCCAGCGATCAAGCCTTGTAAGTNTCAAGTGAGACATGTCACTAATTTATGATTGATAATTCGCCAATAAAAGAATTGAAGAAAAAATGCATTGGAGAAAATTCGGATCCACATTATAACAATTGAATTGGTAGCGTATCCAACTCTTGGGGCTAATCCAGCGATCAAGCCTTGTAAGTAAGAGATGTAAAATTTGATACTTTTTCATACCATTTAAAGGTTAGTCATCCTTTTTCCTCAAGGGACACGTCCTTATATTAACTCGAGATATGATAGTTGATCTTATAGTTCAAAATAGTCGACACAAGCCTGAATATTAATTTGAACACATTGAACGTTGAACTATTGGTTTTGGTTCAAAAGACCGGTTGTAGAAATTTGGACCAAATATGTTATTTGAGCAACTTGTGACCTAAAATGAATGTGACAGGTTTATATATTGGCGTGTTTATGAGTCATATATGTTAAGTTTTGTATCTATATTCTCTTTACTTAGAGGCGAAAATTTTAACTCATTATTCATTAACTCGCCCATAAATTAATAAATTGGGTATCTATATTTATTAATGTGAGTTCTAAATAAATTGAGTAATAGCACTCAATTTAATTAAACGGGTTAGAACGGATTAGAAATAGGTATCCATGGGATTGAATATTTATCTTTCTATTAAATAACAAAAATAATAAAATCAAATAAACATATTAATATACCCAAAATTACACACACACAAAAACACACACGCACTAATACACTAAAATACACACACACCCCAAAATATACACACACATTAATACATTAAAATATACACACATACTAGTACACCAAAACTGGCAAAACACACACACATACACACACTAATACATATTAACATATACATTAATATACCAAAACAAAGATACACTAGACCCGAACTCGAACCTAGGCTCGGACCCTAACTACCCTAACCAATATCCGACCCTAGATCCAAACCCGACTCTCGAACTTGAACCTGATCCTTAACCTCAGACTTAGACTCGACCCCTGACCCAAACCCGACCTAGGACCCAAAATCGACCTTGGAGACGACACCAGAACAAGGCCTAATGATGTTGTTTGATTGAAACTATTTGGTTCATATGCTGTACTTTACAATTTGGGCTTTCTTGGATGGGTCAACATACAAGTCTTAATCTTCTCGCAAATGGAGGAACGCATTTTGAAAAATTTGACCATTTTATCTTCAATTTCTTTCTTCACAGATCATTTATCATGTATTCAAGTGAGACATGTCACTAATTTATAATTGATAATTTGCTAATAAAAGGAATTGAAGAGGAAATGTATTGGGG